GGTCATCTAAGAAGTCCGAATCGTCTAGTTGCATCAACCTGTCTATTATATCTCGTTCTTCCCCTCAGATGTCTGGGTCTTCATAGTCCAGTCAACCACCACTGAAAGGTTGCATAATAAGCAATAACTTTTTCTACTTAATCTATTTATTCAGAGTGGTGTATAGCTTTCATTACCTTGTAGAAAGATGTTTGATGGTCGAAGTATTTGATTCCTAACCACCAGGTTGTGTAGTCAGATAGTAAAGCTTTCACAAAAAATATTTAGGTGAATTCCAAGTACCAAGTATGCTTTTTAGATGAATGAAATGGTATTTTCAAAGTTTATTGCCTACATAGCTTTCATTTCTAAGAATTCGATTAGCATTAAGATTTACGTTCATTTTCAGTTATCATTCTTGTATTTATTTATTTATCAATGCATCTATCTATCTATCTATCTATCTATCTATCTATCTATCTATCTATCTATCTATCTATCTATCTATCTATCTATCTATCTATCTATCTATCTATCTATCTATCTATCTATCTATCTATCTATCTATCTATCTATCTATCTATCTATCTATCTATCTATCTATCTATCTATCTATCTATCTATCTATCTATCTATCTATCTATCTATCTATCTATCTATCTATCTATCTATCTATCTATCTATCTATCTATCTATCTATCTATCTATCTATCTATCTATCTATCTATCTATCTATCTATCTATCTATCTATCTATCTATCTATCTATCTATCTATCTATCTATCTATCTATCTATCTATCTATCTATCTATCTATCTATCTATCTATCTATCTATCTATCTATCTATCTATCTATCTATCTATCTATCTATCTATCTATCTATCTATCTATCTATCTATCTATCTATCTATCTATCTATCTATCTATCTATCTATCTATCTATCTATCTATCTATCTATCTATCTATCTATCTATCTATGGAATTCAATGAATATTATCGAGTGAAAATGAATTATTTAGCATATTATGTGTATATTAATAAAATCATTGGAAATAAGCGTAATTTGTGTATTTTCAGTTTCATTTTTAGTGTCATACAATTACATTAAACTATCATACTATAATAGAATTATTATGGAGACTAAAAACAAAAAATCTATTACTTAGGAAAATGTCAAGGTTGCATGAATTTTGGCCGCAGTTTTTTTCTCTTTTCACAATAAAAAAAATTATTGACAGTTCTTTTTCTTTTCGTTTTTTTTTCTCTATAGAAATAGATAAATATCTTAGTTAAGTTGAAAGAATAGACAAAAGAAAGAAAAATAGAAAAAAAAACAAAAATAAAATAAAACAAAAAGAATCACTGAAAAATTTCAAAAAATTATGATTTTTAATTTTGTTCAAATGAATATGGTTCTATTTCTTAGTTAAATATTTACTAGACTATTAAATGATGAATGAAGTTCAGTCTGAACTCTTGATTTTACTTGCTAATTGATTCTAATATCTTGATAAAAGGTTTCATTGATTCTAAATAATTTTTTGTTTCATCATTGCTAGAATTATTAGCAAATTTATTAAACAATGGTGGTACAATTTCGTGGATTAGTTGAAGTTAGACATTAACACTATTGGATGAAGGCCGTCTCAGTGGTCTAGAAGTTAAGCGATCACACGCAAAACTGATACGTCCTGGGTTCAAATCTATATATAGTGTGATTGTATATTTCAAGGGAAATTTGGTTAAGACCACTTACATTCTACCTTTCTCTGAGTGGATTTTGTTGCTCTGCGTTAATAATTTTCAGGATTAAGAGATAGTATAATATATTTTTATTCATGAACGACTTTATGTTTGAAGGAAGATATAATTAGCAGAGATATAGGTTATCTAAGGAAGTATCCTACTGTCACTACAGTTTGATACAGTCAGTGACATGACTTCGGGCTCTGACATCCCTTTACAACTAACCTGACTGATATACTAGGATCTCAAAGTAAAAATATTTCTAAGTGATATAAGATGTTTAGTTTGACACAATAAATAAGCCATACAATCATTCCAGGCTAGCAGCTGTTGTTAAGATCATACTATTTAACCTACCAAACAATTATCTTATTTTACATTTACTACTAACACATACAGTTTTTGGAAAACCTTTTATTAGTAGTATCTAACCGTAAAAAGGTTCTCTAAACAAATATCTGTGAAATGATTATTATTATCATAACCAAATGATATATTGAAGGTGGCTTCTAAATTTTTACAGTAATTATGTCAAGGAATAAGCTTAAATTAAACATCAAATCTATTTCTTACATCAATTCAAAGATGTTTTTCTAGAGTTACACTTTGTACTGAATTTATTCATCTAATTATTGGTTAAGTAACTACAAGTTAGAAACAAAAAAATTCTTTTTTAAATAATACCAAGTTCATGAATTAATTAAATAAATGTTTTCCATAGTGGTCTAGCTTCAACTGACTCATGATTTCAACTATTAAGATCTCCAAAACCCTCTTCTGATAATAATCACCTGCTTACTAGTAACTGACTTCAAGAGACACTTCTGGAGTTCTAGTGAGAAGCTGTGACCAATGGAGCTCAATCGGGTTTGTTGTGAGATAGTAACTCACTGATGACAATGGCAGACGTTGGCGTGGTTTCGTGGATTGGTTGAAGTTAGACGTTAACACCGTTGTATGCCGGTTGGCTCAGTGGTCTAATGGTTATGCGCTCGCGCGCGAGACTCATAGGTCCTGGGTCCGAATTTCGTGGCGGTCGGGATCGTGGTTGCGCAATGTTGAGGAGTCCCAGGATAGGACGAAACGGCCGTCCAGTGCTTCCAGGTTTTCCATGGTGGTCTAGATTCAATTGACTCATGATTTCAACCATTGAAATTATTTAAAATCTCCGCAAAACCCCTTCTGAAAATGAATGTTTGTTAGGAAGAAACTGAAAAAAACAATGTAGAAATTTGAAAATTTCTATTTTCTTATTCTGTAACATCAACTTAACAGTTGTTTCATTGTACTGTTATATATTCATATTTATAAGTCTAATGTTTTGTTATATCATTACTCAGAAATAGATGAAACATATGTCATTGGATTTGGTTTTTCTTCTTTATTCTTGTCATAGATTTTATATATTTTTAAATCATCATCTATCGTGGTTTATGTTAGGAAATTGATTATGAATGTATATTATTATTATAGACCTGGATTTATTTTATGTAAATAGTTTAGTTAGTTGGTGGAATAGAATATTGACTATTCATATTGTAGAACCCAAATGCCCTAGTACAGCCGACAGTGGGAGAGTTAACTCTCCCATTTCAAATGCTCTCACATGACTACGTGCATACAATCACTGACACGGAAGTCTTACTCACTGCTTTCTCACGGCATTACTATTGTTTACAAAACTGAGAGGACGAAAAGCGGATGTCTGGCACTTTAACCGGGTTGGTGGATATGAAAAGTCCACCTATGGAAGTTGGAATACTCTGATTTCAAACCATTAGTACATATGGGATCAACGATCCTGAGAGAACGAATGGCGTATGAATCAATCATTACTCACCGGTTATCATGACACTGCAACTCCTGACGTTACTCCACTGCCTTGTAGATCAGACCTTTAGGTCGAAGGCTTCGAGTGTTGCTCTCTGAGAAAACCACCTGTTTCGGTCTGTGCACCTGCGTAGTATGACGGCCCATACACAAATGAAGTGACTTGTGTGGTGCATATGTATCCGGTGCCCCTTTGTACCAATAATTATGTGTCCTAATAAATAAATTCGTGTTGTAAGTTAGTCATAATATCAATTATACTACTTTCAAGCCTTAAACCCTAAAAACATTTAAATTCTAGTTTTAAGAATATAGAACTAAGTATCTTCATTTAACATGTCAAATAGGTTCTGTATTGAAACTTAACTATTGTCATTTATCCAATTTCTGTTCACATAAAATCATTCTTCACTGTCAACAAAGAGCAGTTTATATATTTGAACACGTAAACATTTGTATAAGGGGCACCAAAATATATATGCATCGCATAGTAAAAATGAAATTGTGAAGAGATAGAGAAAAGGTGATTGTAATAAGAAAAAGAAAACTCAGTAGAAATTAATGCTCGAGAGTAGAACAATAATAATAATGGGGAAAGAAGTTCAGGTAAGAAAAATACAACCAAAAAGGATTCTATCGATTGAAGAAGTTACTTTCAACTTTATGAAGAAAGTGAAAGAATGTTATGGTAGGAACGCCACTCTCATTCTGAGACATGTATGTTACCATCTCAAGCCACTGAGTTATACTATCTCTAGGACTGCAACTAGAGGTTCAAATAGAATGAATAAATGCCATTCCTGTATAGGTATTTTTATAACGCGACACCATGTCATACACTGATCACCTTTCTACATTTTCTAACCAGTTCCAGCGTCGGCAAATAATACAGAATATGGAGTTCGCTAATATGACATTCGTTGTACATGTGTTTCAAAATGGTGACATCAACCGAATAATCATCTCTGTGCCAGAAAACAAGTTTCCAAAACTTCATATTACTAACATGGTGTCTCGGTTGAATGTCAGCAATCCTCCGGAGAAAACGAGAACTAAACGCGGATAGTCGCTTAATATCCTCAACTCAGAGAGGCCAGGTTTCACAAGCATTGAGAAAAACTGCTCTCACTGACGCGTTGTAGATTCTGTCTTTTACAGCCAGACTAACATCACAAGGAGGTCAAAGATGGCCTATATTGGCATAAACTCGTCTGGCTTTCACTAAGCGTAAATTAATTTCACTACTCAAACTACCATCAGTACTTATACGACTAAGCAGATATACGAACAGATGCTACAAAATGTTTTCAATCATGAAGTTGAAAATTTTTCATTTTAAAGAAAATTACAAATGACTACAGTATAATTATTTATGTACAACTTGTATATGATAAATAAGTTACTTTGATATATAATTCTTTAATATACATTATACTTATATAGATACGTGTAATACGAAATGAAAATCGAGTGGGTTTAATTAAATCACGTATGAATGGTGCACGGAATGCCACTGGTGAGATACTAGTATTTCTTGATGCTCATGTTGAAACATTGGAATATTGGTTAGAACCGTTAGTTGTCCAACTGATAAGCTTAAGAAAACAACACCAACAAGAAAAAAATGGACAACTAAATCTACCGAGTCAACAGGATGAGAAAAGAACTTCAAAATTACCATGTAAGATTACCATTTGATATCATTATACTTATTTCATAAACTATGATTTCATCACATGATACATGATTACATTTAAAATTTAACCCAAACTGATTGGTATAGAATTAATATCCCATGTGTCAAGCAAATAAAGAAATTCTATTTTATAAGGAAATTTCGATATATTGACTGTTAGTGCCCAACGCTATCTTCATTCACTTGATGTGAGGATTGTTTGAAGTATAAGATAAGATGAGAAATTGAATATTATAGAATACTCGATAGCTCTTCTGTTCCAATCCGAGATTTCAAAACTAGAACCTCATGTAGGATTTTACTAAAGATCTTCAGTTATTGGTAGTAACAAGATTCGTTTATACCAATAAGTTTGAACAAAATTGTCTACCTGATAATCTAAATGTTCATTAATTTGAAAGTAGAGTAAATTACGGACTGACATAGTTTGGAATACCATTGAAAACCTGGGGGATTGGATGATTGTTTAATTCCAGTATTCGGATTCTTAGAATTGTGAACCTGTGAATTTCGCTTGCATAAAATCTCGAACTATCAGGAATCGCAGTGACTATGCTACCTGAAAATTATTAGGTACGTATGTTACTGTTCACATTTGTAACTTCAGTCATTTTTTGATATTTTGTGCCCCTTAAATGTCAGTGACGTCTATCTTATTCTTACGTTTGTTGAGCTTCATTAATTATGCCTGCTTACCATGCATTGTGAAATATTTTCCCATACTAGTGAGAACAAATTGAGACAGTATGTTATTTCAGAAGAACTGGGGATTGGTAACTTGTTTGAAAATGGGATAAAATAGTCAATAAAGCAAGCTGGATGAAAAAATATTTAAAAAATGCTAAGAAGACCATCTCTTTAGGATTTCTAGTTTTAAATAGTAGTACGCTAACTACACAGACCTCTTCCAAACAGTAACACAAGCAAAACTAATCAAATCATTAGGACCACCTGATCGTTGAGGGAAGTTCAGTGAGAAAGTTTATCTATGATAGGTAGCCTCATAATATTGTGCTAGGAAATAGAGTTAATCATCCGTCAAACTACTTTCTACTATATTCGATTCAGATGTATGTTTAAGAATGGGGAATTCGGCATTAAAGTATACTGAGACACTGAAGAAATCATTAGCCATAGGTTTTTAAATATGTAAACCTAATAGGGAAAAATTGTTTAGTCAACCAGTTATACTGAGATGCAATGTAATCATAAAAATGTACAACATTATTTCATGTTAAAACTTCAAACGATTTCCGACTACAAAGTTCTAGATTCCACTGCTAACCACCATCCATATCTGCTTATAATGCTTGTGACTTTATGGTAATATCGAGACAATCCTCATAAAATGCAAATATACTAAAAGATTAGATACAATCTGACGTTTAATCTAGGTTTATAAAAATATCAAATTTATATTAATTGTTCACCTAATAGTTATTTTAGTCTTGGATATTGATTAGATTGAACTATTTTAAATGTGGCCATTGTTTTAAATTATTTGATGACTCGTTATGCGTCGTCTAATGTTTGGTGACTGGGGATAATCAATATTGAGCAAAGATAGCTTGATAGTTTTAATTGTAAAATATCAGATGTTTTAGGTCCTAATCTCAAGAGATATTTTGACTTCCTCGAGTTTATAGGCATGTCTTGCTGGCTATTATCAACCTGGACATAATCTATGTCCATGATTTCCTCTTGCTTCCCTCCAACCTCCTACTAACATTTTATGATAGATAAAACTAACATGTAAGGACGGCTAAACATATACTGAAGTAGCTATGAAAACGAATGAGTTCCACTGGTTGAATAAGATAAATATATTCCTCTATTGTGAAATATTTAGTTCGGACAGGTCACAGAATTAATATCAAATAAGCCTTTGTATTATTTAAGCCTAAATCATATGAAATTCAACCATCTTTATTTGTTTAAAAACAGTATGTTCGCATATTGGAATTACCGTGGGATTATTGATTTATTATCTAGCATAGCGTTTTCTACATTGTTTCCCAGTATGATTTTTCCTTCCACTTACTTTCTAGACTATTTAGTTGAGCTCCAATTAGTTTAAAAATCCTTTGTTGTGAGAGAACCAACTCCTAAATATTTAAGCCCTTACTAATTATCATTATAGAAATTAAATACAAAACGGTAATAATAATAAGGGCAAGATATTCAGTCCCATGTTAGCTGGTGACAAATAATTGATTCATACGCCGTTTGTTTCCTCAGAATCATGAAACCCGTGTGCATCAATGGTTTGGAATCAAGGTTTTCCAACTCCCATAGTTGGATCCTCCATATCCAACAACCTGGTTAAAGCACCGGACATTAGCTCTTCATCCTCTCAATTTCGTAAACAACACCCGTGGCGCAAGAAGGTAGTGAGTAAGACTTCCCTGGCAGTGGCTTTATACGCATGGCTAAAAGAAATCATTTCAATAGGGAGAACTAACTCTCCTTACCATCGGCCATACCAGGGCATTTGGGGGCAATAAGTCGAAGTCTCCGGGCGTGGCACTCTAAGAAAACCACCTGTTTCGTTCTCGTCATCAGGGCAGTATCACAGCTTACATACAAATGAAGTGACTTGTGTGGCGCATATCTATTCAGTGCCCCTTTGTACCAATGTTTATGTGTTCAAATAAGTAAATAAATAAATGAGGGCATGATGACAAAATCCTATTCTAAGTTTTATAACTAAATTATCAAGATTGATTTGATAAACTATGAAGTTATTCAATACTTCATTCTGTTGATTTCTATCTTAATAAATTAAAAATTCTTTTATCATTATGAGACATTCTTATCATTGTATTTGCAGAGTAAAAATACTTAATTTCTTATATTCTTGGGTTGGAATCTCGCGAGGCGGGATCGTCGATGTGCACTACTGAGGAGTCCCACAATAGGACGAAACGACTGTCCAGTACTTCCAGGATTTCCATGGTTGTCTAGCTTCAATTGACTCATGACCTCAACTATTGAAATTACTATAATATCCACAAGAACCCCTTCTGATACTTATATTAATAATAGTTTAGAACTGAAATAAATTTGATCTATATAGTTAAAATCTAATTTATTGTGATATATGTTATATGAAATTTATTAACGACAGAGTCCAGGGAACATGATTTTTTTTAGGTATTTTCGAGACATTCTAATGAATGTATACAGTAGTACAGAGTAAGATTACTGAAGACGGTTGATAGAATGTCTTGAACCTAGTTTATATGCTAGTTGGAATATATCAACAAAGAGTATATGCTATCTTAAGAGAATTGATACTCATATAGAGTTTGTAATCTATACCAACAACGAGTGGTGTTACCACTGAGGTACTCGAGTCAAAGGATATTCATTTCTACCCGGTTTTAATGTACAATCTTGTGACAAGTACTAAAAAGAATGAACTAAAAAATCCAGTGATTCTTGTTGAACACATTTAGTATGTAAAATTAAACAGCTTAATCATACGTGAAGCGACCTTATACAGTGGCTATATTCCGAACGTGTCTAAAAGAACTTGGTCAGAACTAAGAAATAGATAAACTGACATGTATTACTTGGTGACTAGTTAGTGCAGATAGTCTAGTGACTATCAGATAAAAATCTTTAGGGTTAATTTTCCTAAAACTGAATACTTTGTAAATTACCCAGATATGGCTGGTGTTTTTAATTTACTAGAATGGTATAACTGTTCAATGTTCCGTCGTTTTCACCTCTAATGCAAATAATGCCAGTTTGTAATAAAAATTACTTGAAATATATGGGTATATTTACTTGTGGAGACTGTGATACATGAATGTTTATATATTCTACAGTATCTATTCAAGAATATCTCTTTATGTTAGAAAAAACCACAAACACTATCCATCATTTACGATGGCTCGGATAATTCAAGTACTATTTGTGTATTATCTTTATCATAAGTAATTCGTGACTGAGCTGACATTCACTGGAATTGTCACAACTGTTAACTGATCAGCTATTACATTAAAGATAATGTAAAAGAACTGATAAGTTAATAAATGTCCGTGTATGAATGTTCCAGTATTTAATCACAATTTTAATGGAAATTTATTATCTTAAATGCAGGGAATTTCAATAAGTTATAGCATACAAGATCCTAGATTATGATTAAATGTTATAAGAATTACATTAAGTTATCTTTCATATAGTTACGAGGTAGTGATAATTAGTTTAACCAACTTTTCATCTATCTCTGGTAAATTAGATATTACTCAATGAAATCGAAAATGTAAGATAAGAAATAAAGAATATACCTGTATTTTCTTCAGTTACATTGGTATGAAAGCAGTCAACAGGAAATCTTTGTCTTGGATTTTAATCTGTCTACTACTCATTAACAAGGCATTATTTCAAATCATGTTAAATAGCTCAATGCTGACATCTTAGAGTGTGAATGTGTGTGTCGTAAGGCAGAATTTCAGATGGGATGTCATTTCCTTGAAGATTGTAAAAAAACTCCTTCCTAGGATGGAAGAAAAGATGCATCTTGACAAGTAAGCATTTAGATTATTACATTCTTAACTGAAGATTAATCGTTGTCAGTCACAGAGTGGATTATTCAAAGCGTAGAACGTTAGTCTAAAGACAATATGGATGCACTCAGGATAAGAATTACAACTATGATTCTTATTGGTACATTAATTTCTAAAAATGCTTCAATTCAAATGATTATCTCTTTCTTCTAGTAATGTTTAATTTTGTTTTATTGTTTATATTCAATTACAGATAATGCAAAACATTTTATTGTCAGTCCACTTATCCTGTCAACACTAGACAAATCAGATTATGATAATATTGAAGATAATTTATATTTAGGAGGTTTCACATGGGATTTAATATTTCGATGGCATCATATTCATGAAAATGTCACACCATTATCAATCAAGTTTAATAAAACTGATGCATATCATTTAATTTATCCAATTAAAACACCAGCATTAGCTGGTGGTTTATTTGCTGTATGGAAAGATGATTTTTTTAATTATGGTGGATATGATGAAGAAATGAATATATGGGGTGGTGAGAATATTGAATTATCACTTAGAACATGGATGTGTCATGGACAAATTGAAATCATTCCATGTAGTCGTGTTGGTCATATATTTCATAATGAACATCCATATACATTTCCTATGGGTAAAGAATTTACCATTCTACGTAATCATAAACGTACTGTATTAGTATGGTTTCAACATGATACTAATTTAACATTAGCTAGAGAATATCTTTCTTATTATTATACAGTATCACCAATGTCTAAAATAATACCTGCTGGTGATTTAAAATTACGTAGAACTATTCCTAATTCATTAAATTGTCATACATTCACATGGTATTTAGAGAATATTTATCCTTTACTTAAACAAGAAGCTAAAAATATTGAAATCAATGATGATACTTATTATTTAACTGCTTTGATAGTTTATAACTAATAATCTTATTAATTGTAGAGTTTTTGTTGTTGAAAAGACAATACAATGAATACACTCAATGGAGATCCATTCAAAAGTGAAGAATTCATTATTATTTCAATTCGTTTAGTTATCAATAGATGTTTTTGTTTTCAGCGCGAAATTTGTTTATCTACTCTTTTATATAACTGTATAGATAGATATTCAATATAAAGTGTATATTTTGTATGATATGGGATTCTTATTGATTTGTTTATGGGAGGAATACTGATCAATCAATGTTAGCTTGTAGGTTGTTTTTTTTTTGGGGAGGCATAATTTCAATACAATAGAATTGAGTGAGATGATGTAGTGTTTGTACATGAACATAATTTTACATCAAGTTATCATGTATTTTTAATGGTCATAGTTAAAAACGACAATATTTAAATAATTTAATACTTGAATTTATGAGCCGATTAAAGGTAGACCACCATGGGAAACCTGGAAGCACTGGACGGCCTTTTCATCTTAATATGAGGCTTTTCAGAAGTACGCGATCCCGCACGCAGGACTTGGACTTAGCACCCTCGTATCGTGCGCGTATGCTTAACCTCTAAACCACTGAGCTATCATCCAATGATGGTAATGTCTAACTTCAATCGATCCATGATCTTGCGCAACCATTTATCCGTTGATTGAGGTACATACCTATCTCTACTCAACACAGATTGGACTCCATTGGTCATAGCTCCTCACTAGAACTCCGGAAGATATCTTTTGAGGCCAACCACTAGTGAGCTCATGATTATTATTATCATAAAGGGGGTTTAAGGGGTTCAAATTTGTCTGTTATAAGGTAGTGACTCATTGAAGACAATTATGAACGGTGGCGCAATATTGTGGATTGGCTGAAGTTGGACATTAACGCCGTCGGATGACGGCTCAGTGGTCTAGAGGTTAAGCGTGTGCGCGTGATATCAAAGGTTCTGGGTCCAAGTCCCGCGTGCGGGATCACGCACCTCTGAAAAGTCCCATATTAGATGAAAAGGCCGTCTTGTGCTTTCAGGTTTTCCATGGTGGTCTAGCTTTAATCGGCTCATAAATTCAACTAATAAATTATACAGTCTCTACAAACTAATCGTATTCAGAGTTAACTACTAGTTTGTATCAAGTATTTTTGTAATGCGAATTTGTAGCCTCTTGTGACATTTTTGTTTGTGAATCATAGAAATATCTACAAATAGTATATGGGTTTAAAATTATAGAAAGTATTTTTAACTTGGGCGTTGGTTTGAGCTTGTTAAGTAGAGTATTAAGATAATGAATTTTATGTTAACGAATTAAATTGATGAACTCAGCATTAGGCTACATATTTTAGATTTGGACTAGTGATGCTATCCATATGCCTTGAGTGAAATAATGGGGAAAAGTATTCAATCCATCTACTGAATAGCTTAAACTTAAATGTTTAACAATGAGTCACTGTTAGCCTTATACATCACTGATCGATTTCACTTGGGATATCATTCAAAATCAAGGAGGACCGGATATTTGTTTCGTCTTAGTTTGTTACCGATTAGCATTACGCACCTATATAACCACCAGGCACCTAAATAAGGACCTTCAGGTTTTACAATAGAACCTTAACAAACAAAATCATAGAATCAATTTGAGTTACATTGCAACAATCATCTATTTCATTGATAACAGATATTTCTCTCTCGATATGCCCGAACTCCATATATCATGAATTTACGCTAGTTATTACATTCTTATTTAAAATATCTACTTTAGATCTCTTTTTGAAACAATAATATACTGTTTATAACAATGGTGTGAAGGTAGAACAGTTGCATTGATATACTTCATACTTCATAAAGTAATATAATAAACTATTATATTTCATACTAAATTCACTATCATACATTTGTTTGTAGTATCTTGGTAAGAAACTATTAAAGAGAAGCTAATCCTAAACAATGAATGAAAATATCAGTAAATATCTGCGAAAGTTTTAAAAATCAAATTACTTTTAGAAGTAGTAGTGGTAGTAGTAGTAGTGGTAACTATCATTATCAGGATTGTCTGTTGAGTTTTTTTTAAACAAGTGTGAAATCTACTGTACATAATTGTGTTAACTTTTACTCTGTGAAAATATAAAGAACTGTTTCTGTGTGAATGTGTGTAGTATATAGAGGAGGAGGAGGAGGTGGTGGTGGTGGTGAAAATGTAATATCAAAATAGAAAAAAAACAAACGAAGACGTATATACAAATTGTTCGGTTCTTATTGTATTTTACTTTCTAATTATATTTGTAAAGAAAAGTTCTCTTACATTTAGGTTTTTTCGGATAATTTTCAACATACCAAGTTAAATATGTTCTTGGAATTTTATTTATTTATTTGAACACATAATTGCTGGTACAAAGGGGCACCGATTACGTATATGCGCCACATAACTCGCTTGATTGTTGTGAGGGCTGGAATACTGGCCGGGTTCCTGCTGTGTTCAACAACCCGGTTAAAGCTCCAGACATTCGCTTCCTGTCATCTGACTTTCGTAAACAACACCTCCACCGTGAGAAGGCAGTTCGTAGGACTTCCTTGGTAGTGGTTGTATACACGTGGCCATGTGAGAGGACTCGGAGAGGGAGAGCGGACTCTCTCTACTTTCAGCCATACCAGGGCATTTGGGGGCTGTTCTCGGATTGAGGGAATGAAAGAAAATATAAAATTTTGAAAGCTATTCCCTTTGGGAAATCAATGTAAATAAATTTAATATGTATTTGTTTAACAACTGATCTGTGATATTTGTGTATTTTACACTTGTCTTTTTAACTCATTACCCATTGTTCTGTCATTAATCGTTCATAAATTTCAATAATATCATTATACACACATCTAATCAGGTTTTTACCACAATTGTCTTTCTTTCTTACTTACTTACCTACGCCCGTTACTCCTCGTGGAGGAGCATAGGCCGCCCAACAATACTCTCCATCCAACCAGATTAAACAAATATACATACTACTTAAAATTTATTAATGATGAGTTTTTGTCTTATATTTTGTATTTATAATTACATAATATGAAAATTCTAAATTGTGAAGAAGAATAATACCGGAAACTTGACGCATCTTTCTGATGTTCTGGTTAGTTACTGGGGAAAAAGTGAGAATGTTTTAGAGTTTATTGATCAGTAACATATACAGAAAGTGGATTGTCAAACGCGTATTTAATTAAATTTTGAGCGAAAGTAACAAGATAACCAACTATCTTCTGAAAAAAAGCCTCATTTTATTCCATGGTTTTGCACTAGTTTTAACTAGTCGAAATTTTGTAATGAGTTAGAAAGATTATAAATACCTTAAATAATTAATTTTATATAAATTTTCAGCTGGAGACAGTGTAGTATGGCGTCGAGTCGCGGTTGACTATGATCACCACTACAAGAAGATTGCGTACCAGAACAGGCTAAACCTTCGAGCAAACCAGAAATCAGAAGGTGATTGAAGGTTGTAGTAAGATATATTTGTTGGCGATCTTGTGGTATCGAAATAATACGAAGATCGTGCCAAAGGAGTACAAGCGGAACTACTGAGTAAAGGTTCATGCAAAGTCACAATCAACGGAAGGAAGGATGTCTTTAGTACAGTTAAACAAACAAGTACAGTAAAACAATCACTGGTACAATTGGTTATAATAATAATTGTTCCCATTAAACCAATCGCGTTCTCTTGATAAAAGTAGGTCAATACAACAAGGAATCAGATTAGTAAGACTCACTAAACACATATAACGTAACTTAATTGCGATTAACGCACTATAAGGATCTCAGAGTTATTCATTTGAGATATGTCATCTATTGAATAGATAGATATCTCATTGTTATACTTATGATATTTTAAACAATCACATTCAGAAAATTCTGCAGAAGCTCTTCCTTTAGGTCCTATTATAAGTACATAGAACTTCATAAATAAAACTAGAACTGATCTTAGAGGGACAATAATATTTTCCACTGAGTTTAGCTTCATTCCAGTGTTAATATTTTACACTAAGACTTAAACTTAATACTCACCATTCTAAGTGTCATATCGCCGTATTCTCTCAAAGGACTTATATTGTAACATATAGTAATCAAATGTATTCTAGAATACCTACAACAGAAATAAACAAAATCTTATCGGTAATAGAAAAAAAATATGGATATTTTAATTGAATAAAAATAATTAAAGTATACAAATAAATTAGAGTGTTTAACACTAACAACTGGAAGATTAAAACTATCATGAAATGATGGAAAGATAAGTCAATTTTCGATTGAATTACTCATTAGGAGTTTTATTCAACATTGACATCCGTTTTCATTCAACGTGAAGATCATTCAGTGTAGTATTTGATTTATTTTCCCAGTACGATATTTTCTTCTGTATAATATAAGATATTCTTGTATTCAGTTGACACAAACTATGTTCAGTAAGTGATTTATTATAATTGAGTATCTGATTAAATCCTAATTATGAATCAAAATGGATGTACAATCAATATATAAACCAGTGTATTTTAGACGATATTGATTCGTCGTTATCATAGTGTTTTGGGGCTGATAAATCTTCACATATACCAGTCTTGTGTTCTTACTTTCGCATCGTGGGAATTGCCGAGGTCCCTCGTTCCGAGTATAAGTGATCAGTGTTTTTTTTTCTCCGGTACAACAATCAGCGACGACTAGATAAAACACATTATAAATTAAATTTATACCTATTACGCAATCTAATGGTTGTTTCAACTCAGTAACTCAGTAGATAATATGCTAATCTTTACAGTGGAAGCACTTAGTTATAGTTTCTATGTGAATATCGATACTGAAATTCAACTAAATTTAACTGATCAATCCTAAACAAGTTAAAATGAGCATCCTAGATCTTATTGGTAAACACAATTGAAATTTACTAAACATTTATGCAAATTTCTATTTATACCTAATCTAATTCCTTAGAATACAACAACTATTTGAAATATAAAAAATGTACGTGT